ACCAGTTTTAGGAGCCCTTTTATTTTTAGAAAAGTGTGTGATTTTAATATTCTTAGGCTTATTGATGAACCTTGCTATCGTTGCTATTGAGCTGTTTTAAACCATAGGATTTTGCTAGGGAACTTTATTGAATGAGCATAAAATCTTAAGTGTAGGGGTTTAAGGTTCACTTTGTTTCTTCTTGATGATGATAAAAATAAATAATATACTCTTTTTAGTCTTTTGAACGAGGACGTTCAAGTCTTAAGTGTGGGGGTATTTGATAAGTCGGGGTTGGGTTAGTTCTTTTTATTCTTTTTTAGGCATTTTTAATATTTTTAGTGTTTAATTTTTAGTTGTTTAGCTTAGTTTTATTCTAATTTTCATTTTTACATTCTTTTTATTTTCTTTCATAAATAGTAGTTTTTAATACATTTTTTTTACTTCTATTATTTTCATTTTTTTCCCTAATCCAAATTATCAGATATCTTATTTTGGAGAAAAGTAAAGCAAAAGCCCAAAATGCAGTTCAAGCTTGGAAAGAAGATATTGAATTTTGGCCGAAGCCCCAACATTAAAGTAATTGATGATCTGCACTTCATTCCCAATTTGACATCACGCATCAAAGGAAAAAGAAAAAAAAAAGACAAGTTTGGAGAACCCATCTCCTTCTTCGAAGAGTAACGCGGAAGACCAGCTCCAAATCTCTTGTTAAGGATGCGTGGAGGCTTCTCGTAAGGAGAAAGAGAGCCCCGAGACACGTAACAGAAAAGAGAGAGAAAATATGAGAATGAGAGAGGGAGAGAGTAAATATTCTTTCTTATTTTCTTTCAATCCAACGCCACGTACATATATATGAGTCCTCAAACGACTTAGCACACAAGAAAGGAAAAATAAAGAAGGAAAAATATAAAGGGATAAAATAGTAAATAGCTAATGTTGGGCTTGGGCCGCATCATTCCTCCCTCCTTGGCAATAGCTTTGTCCTCAAAGCTCAAAATGTGGGAATTTCTGCCTGAAGATTTCAGACCACTCGCAAGTTGCCCCTTCTTCCGGCACTCCTTGCCATTTGACCAAAAATTGCACCCCAGCTTTTTTTGCCTTCTTCTGAATCCTCCTAGCCAATATGGCCTCTGGTTCCAAGGCCTCCTGTCCATCCTTCCCTTGCTTCCAATGGGGTATGTGTGGAGCAGCTGGTAGTTTCCCCTTCAAAGCCTTGAGTTGGGAAACATGGAAAATTGGATGAATTTTGACATGAGACGGAAGATTAAGTTTGTAGGCTACCTTCCCCACCTTAGCCATGATTTGGAATGGCCCAAAATATCTAGGGCCTAGCTTCTCATTAAGCCTATGTTGGACACTCATCTGCTTGTAAGGTTGTAGCTTCAACCAAACCCAATCTCCAACTCCAAATTCTCTCTCACACCTCTTTTGATTGGCTAGTTGCTGCATCCTGTTTTGTGCTCTTTGCAGCTGCTGCTTAAGTTGTCTAATCATGTCCTCCCTTCTTTGGAGGGATCTATCCACTGCTCCCACTGCTGACTCACCCGGTAAGTAAGGTTAGGTGTACAGGTGGGGCCTGACAATAGACAGCCTCATAAGGGGTCATTTGGATGGCAGGATGGAAGGTAGTATTGTACCACCACTCAGCTAGGGGAATCCATTTGCACCACTCCTTGGGATTATGGAAACACATGCACCTTAAGTAAGTTTCCAAGCATCTATTAACCACTTCAGTCCTGCCCATCTGTTTGGGGATGGAACGCAGTGGACATCAAGAAGTCTACTCCATGGATGGTGAAAAGAGACTGCCAGAATTGACTAAGAAAAATAGCATCTCTATCACTTACAATAGTACTTGGCATGCCATGTAGTTTGAACACATTATCAAAATAACTCTGAGCCACTTCCACAGCAGTGTAGGGGTGAGAAAGCACCATGAAATGAGCACACTTGCTCATTCTATCCACCACCACAAAAATTACATCCTTACCCATAGATTTAGGTAATCCTTCTATAAAATCCATGGATACATCTTTCCTGGTGGTCCCCAAAGTGGTGAGATACAAAGTCTAGAGGGGGGGGGGGGGTGAATAGACTTTGTTACAAAGTTAAAACTTTTTCGTTTCTTTTGAAAACGTGAAAATGAGTGTTAATCTAGAGTCCTTGTGAACTTTAGATTGTGTGCGGAATTTGGTGGGTAGAGTGAGCAGTAATCAATATGGATGGGTTAGTTTTCACAATTAATATAATTGCAAGTAAGAGTAAAGATAAAAGAGAGAGACACGCAAACTTTAACGAGGTTCGAAGGTGGGGTAATCCTTCTACGTCCTCAAAATCCACTATGTAGTTGGTTGTTGAATAATGAACCAACAATTACACTTGTGTGAATTTCTGCACGGTATATCTTCGCAAGGCCAATGTTGCTACTGCACTCGTGCTGGCTTTGTTGTTCCTTCAAAGGTCACGCTTCTTCAACAACTGCAACGTCCGAACAATAGGACTTGCAAGATCAACTTGTAAGAAAGTTGACCTACCCCCTTTCAATCAAGAAGTTTGATCAAAAGTTGTATCCTTCAACGTGGTGTGGTACTTGAGGCAAGGAAACCTTCAAGTGTTTACACTATAGCTCTTTGGAAGGAGGAGAAGTTTGCTTCTGGATAAAAAGTTTAGAAATCTCTCTTTATTGTTAGAGATTACTTCGTTGGATAAGAAGTTTGCTTTGGGCTAACTGTGAATGAGATAGCTTTGTTGTTAGAGATTGCTTCGTTGTCTATTCATTCATNATTGATTTTTCCTTACCAACGGGTAGAATTTCTTCATTCAAGACTTAGATAATTTTCTAAGTCTTTTCTCACTTGTCCGCTTTTTGAGAATTCCGGTCTTCCTTGAGGCATCCGGTTCTTGGCTGACAAATCCGGAAGAATCATTCTCAGTCTTCCGGGTGAGAAAGAGATCCGCGTTAGTCTTCCGACTTGGGTGACTTAGCTTTCAGCGGGTTGTAGCGAGACATCCGGTTATCATGTAGTCTTCTGGATTGGAGGATTTTCATCTGCTCTGAGAGATCCTTACTTGTCTCTGACATTTCCGATCAAGATATCCAATTTCCATATAACTGAATTTGATTAAGTCTTCAAGCATCAAACCACTTAAAGAAATATCACAACTTTATTGGAAATCTCAAGAACTCGGTTTTAACAATATTTCTAAAAAGAAAAATTACATTGAATATTAGGGGGAGACCTAAAGTCCCTATTACATTCTAAATACATCATCATCAAAATCTATATTTTTCCCAACAATTTCCCCTTTTTGATGATGACAAGCAAGTGTTTAAGAGTTCCGTTCGCTGTACTGAGAACTAATTTTATAACTCTCTTTTAGTTTCTCATGATATACAGCTTGTTAACAAAAACTCTTAAACAGATACAATTCAAATTACAATAATTCCTAAACCAAGTCTTGTCTTGAGATTTTGTGATATTTCTTCCGCCATTGACCGTGTTCAGCTTCAGCAGAACTTGGCAAAGCGGTTGGCGTTGCATTTGATAGATCTTTAATATCCAAAGTGGATATTCAAGATCTTGGAAGCAACACATCTCTCAAAATAAGAAGAAAGATAGAGAGAGTGTTGTTCCAGAGAAGATGTATGGTGTAATCCTGAAAAATACGAGATTTTCACCACAGACCTTCTCTACTGCCGAGATTCTCACCATAGACCTTGAAAGTCTTTTCTTCTCATTAGGCTTCTTCCATTGCCGTCTATGAGGGTGAGAAAGAAAAGTTTCTCCATTGAGGATATTTTTCAGACAGTGAGTTTGAAGACTTTTCATATTGAAAGAATTGTTTGTGATAGGAATGGATTGGGATGTCTTGATTTAAATAAGAGAGGAGGAAGAGAGAGGGTGTAACACCCCGGCCCCCACCCTAGCCGTAAGTGTCCGCTCATTAACTTTGAAGTTTTTAGGTGATGGGCTCCCGAAAAGAAGATGCACCTTGTTGGTATGAGTAGTACTATCAATCCTTTTGAGCTATCTTCCCTTTCCCATCTTAATACGGGGTATTACATTCATCCCCACTTAGGAATGCAACGTCCTCGTTGCATCCTTTGTTTTTTTAAACCCTTAGATCTTCCCCGCTCTTTTGGCCCGTCACGGTCGCAGGGTTGCTCTGATACCATTTTGTAACACCCCGGCCCCCACCCTAGCCGTAAGTGTCCGCTCATAGGATTGTAGACTGGCCCCCACAAACCAACACACGTCTTTCCCGCGCACTTTGTCTTCACTCGTGCGCGCCCAAGGAATTTCCCAGGGGGTCACCCATCCTAAAATTGCTCCAAGTCAAGCACGCTTAACTTTGAAGTTTTTAGGTGATGGGCTCCCGAAAAGAAGATGCACCTTGTTGGTATGAGTAGTACTATCAATCCTTTTGAGCTATCTTCCCTTTCCCATCTTAATACGGGGTATTACAGAGGGGAGGTTCATGGGTTCCATTAATTGGGTAGTTGGAACGGTGAGAGTAAAGAAGTTTCAACTTCCAAGAAGTTGAAAAGTGGAAAGAATCTTTTACCAGTTACCAATGAATTGAAACTATTCCAATTAGAAAATCAGTTTCGTTTGGTTTGAGAAACGTAACTGTTTTAGTTTGGCTAAGCCCAAAAGAGTGGCCCCAAAAGAAAAGAAAGCTATGTACTAAAGGGAAATTATTCCTATTAGGTTCTCAAGGCCCAAAATAAAACTATCATTTTTCATTCCCTATAGTTCTAATTTCTACTTAGGACGAGGTAGTACCAAAACAAATATGAATTTTATTTTTAAAAGAAAAGTGGTACTATTTTTCCAAAGTCCTGTACATTATAAAAATCCTAAGGACCAGTACTTTTAGAGCTAGTTGGAAATGAATTAAGGATTAAAGCTTAGTTTAAGAAGGCAAATTTTGTAAAGTACCTGAATCGGAGATTTTCAATTTCAGTACCAAAACTGAGATATCCGTCTTCCATTGCTTAGAGCTCATCAATAATTCATAGCCAAAAACAATTATTAGCCAAAATTAGTTAAGTTCCCCCTGAATGTATGCGCTTCAGAAACAAAAGTTCTCAAAATCATACTTGAGATCATAATAAGCACAAATAAGAGAATTGTTGAAGCAATGTTTAAACCAATCAAGCAATGTTTAAACAAGAAGGTGTTTTCATCAAAACAAATTAGTGTTTTCACATATCTTTCCCCCTGGTTTGATGAAAAGAACCTTCAGTTCCTTTTGCGTTTTGAAGATCCGGCAGCCTCACTGATACCTTGCATGTTGCCACACAGTTCTTTGATGCGCCTTATATTGTTGCATCTCTCCTCTGTTTGGTTATCATTTGAGAAGTGAGCAGCAATTGTTCCTACAGCCTCTGTTCCATCCAATCTTGAGCTGGATAGGTGCTGCGCTGAGTTCTCCGGATTTCTTTGCTGTGCTTCAAGGATTAGATTAGTCATGTTCAGATGAGAAGGGATATAAGAGACTTCTCCTTCTTTGACTGCAATGGGGAGTTCTGGTATCAAGGATGGACTGTGTTGTTGAAGAATCACTTCCATCTTGCGATTTCTAGACTTTGCGCCAAGAAGTCTGAACAGTTTATGTGCTTCCTTCTGATTGTCAATGATCACCTTCAAGTAGTCTTTGGTCACTACTTGATTTGCTGAAGATACTGCTAGAGCTGATCTGATGTCCATTTGAAGAAGAGACATTTGCTTTTGTAGACTGACAGTGACATTTGCTATTTGCTCTTTGACTTTGTTAATCTCCTTGAGTTGAAGATGACTGTCAGAGGCATATATCTCCATCGTGTTGCGCACAGTTTTGCTCAATAGAGAGATGATCTCTAGAGTCTTGTGCACTGACTTGCTTATATCTTTGAGATCTGCGCTGTGTTTCTCTTCAGATTTCTCTATCAGCTTGGTGTACCTGGCTTCCATTTGCTCTATCTCTTGCCTAAAGGAGGCATGTTGAGATGCTAGGGCTGATTCAATCAACCCTTGGACCTTCTTTGTCCAGATTTCCGGTATCTCATCCGGAAGTGTAGGGGCGGAAGAGCTATTAAAATGAAAGTTGGTTACCTGATGAGAAGAGGGTGTTTTTTGAAACAGTTGCATAGGAAGAGATTCAGCATCTTCTTGTACATCTTCTTCATCAGTGATCTTTAGTGTTCTCTCAGATTCTCCTTCTGCTTCATCAAGCGCAAAATTCGATATATATCTAGAGAGGGAGTCACTATCTTCAGCTTCATTTTGTTCTTCAAAAATGGCTATTGGAGTTTTAGAGACTTCCAGTTCTGCCATTTGAGTTTCTTTCTCAGCTTCTCCAGAATTCATTTGGATTTCTACAGCTTGCTCTTCTTCACTTGTTTCTGGAAAAGTTGATTGCTCCGGAATTTCTGCTGACTTCTCCGGGATCTCAGTTTCAGTAGGATTGGAGATCTCACAAGGAGTTGTGAGAGTCTCTAAAACTTGAGATTGGATTAGTTGCTGAAATTCTTCTTCTTCTGCTGTTTTCTGGTTCTGTTCTTGTGGGGGAGAGGCTGCTTTTTCTTGGACAGCTTCAGTCAGAACCGTTTCAAAGGCAGGTGAGGTTTCCGGAAATATTTGGAAATCCTCAGCTGTTGCTACCAAGTTAGCTTGTGCTTCAGAAGTGAGAACCACTTGCTCTTCTGTGGCTTTAGAGAAGACTGGTTTGTAGACTAAAGGATCTTCATCATCTACTTCAAATTCTGAATTTGGTGAGTTGGCTAGGTATTCCAGATGCAGATCTTCATTGTTCCTTTGCCATACCCAGTAGTCGTCCAAGATTTCTTCACAGCTATGGTTGACTGGTATTTCTAAGCATTTCTTGATGGTCTTCTCATTCTTCAGCTGTTGGTCCCAATCCATCAGTTGCTCTGCTGAATTTCCAACTTTCCATGCTCTCCAATCATAGTAGAGCTGCCAAAATTGGTTATCAGCATCATCCATTTGAGGTTGAGGTGAGGGGGTTGGAAGGCTTTGGACTTGAGGGATTTCTTCTTCAAGTTGTTGAGGACTTCGGTTGTGGGCAGAGGTTTCCTCAGCACGTTCCTTCTCCTTCAACTTATCCGAGTTGACATATCCAGATGTTGAGGGAGAGGAGAGTTTTCTCTTCTTCTTCCTTTGAAGTTCTCCTTGCACAGAGACTTCTTCTGCTTCTTCCACATTGACCAGAGCAAGGTTCTGTGGTGCTTCAACACTAATGGAGGGAGACACCACCTGCTTCCTTTTGGCAGTCTTCGCCATATGGATGAGTGGGACATTATCTGATGAGCTTTCCTCTGCAGTGACACTAGCACCAGCTCTGTTTTCCCCTTTTGAAGACAGATAGTATAACCAATATCTTTCTTCATACTTCTTTCCTTTAGAAGCAGCACCCATAGACTCCAAAATATGGCCAATGTACAGACCTTGACAAAGGTACTTCGGATTTGGCTTTCCCAGATGTTTTGAAATGGATTTGAAGAAGTGTGCAGCCCAATTTACCTTAGATTTGGTAATGAGAGCGTTGATGATGAAGGCTCTCTCCTGCGTGATGTCATCCGCATGACCTCCGCTTCCATACTCGAGACAAGCAATGACCAGTTCCAAAATTAACTTGTAGTCATTGTTTAGATCTGCTTTCTTCGCTGGGCCAGAAGGAGCTTGCTCAGAAATTCCAATAACGTTCCAGTCCAGATTTTTGACTGGAAATTTCCCAATTTCAACTCCAGAATTGGGAAGGCGAAGCTTTTCTCCCAATTTCTTCTGTGAAAGCTTCACTTTTCTTCCTCCAACAGTGGATTTGATGACTTGAAGCATCCTCTGTGGGTCCTTCTTTGGATGAGCAGTCTTGACCTCTCCATTTTTGTAGAATTCCAGAACTTCAGCTTCATATTTGAGGCGAATCTCCATTTGAAGAAATTCGGAGAGTTCTTGAGCGGCTATCATCTCTAGATAGTTTTGATAGAACGCTGGTGAGGAGCATTTGGATTCTAACTTCTGGAAATGGACATTAGCGCCGACAACCTTCATTTTCTCAGAAATTTGACGATTCTGAAGAAATTTTAGGGTTCTTGAGGTAATTCAAAATTTTTCGCGAAGAAGACGACGAAAAATTTTGAGTGGGCGGTTGAGATCTGAATAGTGGCGATTGGGTTTTATTTAGGCGATTTGCGCGGCTGGTGGCGATTGGGTTTTTGACTATTCCCAAGGCCACGTGCCTACCCACTATATTGACAGACGTGGAAAGTGGACTGCCACCTGTACCGCACTTAGTCTAATTGAATTGGACCAATTTTGTGAAGCAAATCGGAAAACTTGGCATCACTTAGTGGTTTTGTGAAGATATCCGCCAGTTGTTCTTCAGTTGAGATATACTCAATTTTGATATCTTTCTTTTCCACATGATCTCTGATGAAGTGATGCTTGACATCAATGTGCTTAGTGCGAGAATGGTGCACTGGGTTTTGAGAGATGGCTATAGCACTTTGATTGTCACAAAAGATTGTCACTTCCTTTGTCTTGACTCCATAAGTCTAGTAGTTGTTGCTTTAGCCACAAAATCTGAGCACAACAACTACCAGCAGCAATGTACTCTGCTTCTGCTGTTGATGAAGAAATGGAGTTTTGTTTCTTACTGAACCAAGAAACAAGATTTCCACCAATGAATTGACAAGTCGCAGATGTACTTTTCCGGTCAACTTTGCATCCGGCAAAGTCAGAATCTGAGTATCCCACTAACTCAAATGAATTGCCCTTAGCATACCATAAACCCATGTTTTGAGTTCCTTTGAGGTATCTAAGAATTCTTTTAGCTGCTATCAGATGACTTTCCTTTGGCTTTGACTGGAATCTTGCACAAACACCTACTGCATATGAGATATCCGAACGGCTTGCAGTAAGGTAGAGTAGAGATCCAACAATTCCTCTGTAGAGAGTTTGATCTACATCCTTTCCATCTACATCCATATCAAGCTTGGTGGATGTACTCATGGGGACTGAAACGGATGACTTCTGATCGACTTTGAATTTCTTGATAAGATCCCTTGTGTACTTGGCTTGGTTGATGAGAGTCCCTTCACTTCTCTGTTTGATTTGAAGGCCAAGGAAGTAGTTGAGTTCCCCCATCATGCTCATCTCAAATTTTCCTTGCATGAGAGTTGAGAACTTGGTGCAGAGATCTTCCTTAGTTGAGCCAAATATAATGTCGTCCACATAGATTTGGACCAGTAAGAGATCTTCTCCATCTTTTAGTTTGAACAATGTCTTGTCAATGACTCCTTTGGTAAATCCATTGTCTATAAGAAATTGAGACAATGTATCATACCAAGCTCTTGGGGCTTGTTTGAGTCCATATAGCACCTTTTTGAGTCTATACACTTGATCTCCCTTAGTGTGTAACTCAAATCCTGGAGGTTGTTCCACATAGACTTCTTCCTCGAGGTTTCCGTTGAGAAATGCGCTTTTGACATCCATTTGATGGACTTTGAAATCTTTATGGGCAGCAAAGGCTAGAAACAGCCTTATAGCTTCAAGTCTAGCAACTGGAGCGAAGGTTTCATCAAAATCTATACCTTCTTCTTGACAATATCCTTTGGCAACTAACCGGGCTTTGTTTCTGACAACAACGCCGTTTTCATCCATCTTGTTCCGGAAGACCCACTTTGTCCCAATGACATGTTGATGAGTACGTCTGGGAACAAGTTTCCAGACGTCATTTCTGGAAAATTGGTTGAGTTCTTCTTGCATTGCATTAATCCAATCAGAATCAGCTAGAGCTTCTTCAATATTCTTTGGTTCCACTTGTGAGATGAAACAAGCAAGCATGGCTTCTAGATTCTGCTGGGCACTTCTTGTGCGAACGCCAGATTGAATATCTCCAATGACTTGTTGAGGAGGATGATCCCTTAACCAAAGAAGATTATGTTGATTGGGATTGACTGGTTGATCTAGTTTGACTTCTGGTTGAAGAACAGAAGTTGTTGGTGTTTCCAGATGGATTGGCACTGGGTCGCCATTTCCGGAATTGTCACCATTTGAGTGTTCCGGAATATTGGAAGGCTGGCCAAAATTTCCGAAAGGCTCAGCACTATTTGAATCCGGATTTCTCTGTGAAGTCTTTAGTGGTAGAATTCTGAATGGAATGAACTCCGTAGGCTTCATTCTATCTCCTTCATTGACTTCTTCATCCTTGTCTGAGAGATCCAGAACCTCATGATCATGCTTTGATGGCTTGTCAACCACATGTTTTTCATCAAAAATAACATGTATTGACTCTTCAGTGATCATGGTTCTTTTATTGAAGACTCTGAATGCCTTGCTCACCATAGAGTATCCAAGGAAGATGGCCTCATCTGATTTCTCATCAAAAGTGTTCAGATGATTCTTCCCATTGTTTAACACAAAGCACTTGCTCCCAAAAATATGGAAATATGATATATTAGGCTTTCTGTCGTTCCATAGTTCATAGGGAGTTTTGTTGTGCCTTTTATAAATCATACTCCTATTTTGAGTATAGCAAGCTGTGTTAACAGCTTCAGCCCAGAACCTTTTTGGTAAGGAAGCTTCTGCTAGCATTGTTCTTACTGCTTCCTTCAAGGTTCTATTCCTTCTTTCAGCTACACCATTCTGTTGAGGCGTCCTTGCTGCGGATGTCTGATGAAGAATTCTGTTTTCTTCACAGTAGTGAATGATGATTTCATTCAGGAATTCTGTGCCTTTGTCAGATCTGATCTTCTGAATGGTCTGACTTGCTTGGTTCTGAATCAGCTTCATGTAGTGGGTGAGTTTCCCTTGAGTTTCCTTCTTGCTGTTGAGGAAGATTGTCCACGTGTATCTTGAGTAATCATCAACTACCACCAGGACATATTTCTTTCCACTTAGACTTATTGGTGTAACAGGCCCAAATAAGTCCATGTGAATAAGACTTAATATCCTTGTGGTTGAGGGTGCCGGCTTTGCCTTGAAAGTGGACTTGACTTGCTTTCCTTTCTGGCAAGCATCACAAATGCTTTCCTTCCTGAATACAGCTTTGGGAAGACCTTCTACTAACCCTTCTTTGGATAGCTTGTTGAGGGTTTTGAAATTGAGATGACTCAACCTCTTATGCCAAAGCCATAGAAGGTTAGTGTCACCTTTGCTGATTAGGCATGCTTCCTTGACATCGTCCCACATCACTTCATAGATGTTCCTGATTCTCTTCCCAGTGAGAATGACTTCATCGTCCCACATCACTTCATAGATTGCTCAAAAGGCTCGCATCACCCGTCATGTGTCTTGAACAGCCACTGTCTAAGTACCAGACACCTGGGTACTTAGCGGCTTCCTGCATTAGGAGGAGGAAGATTTTGGTACCCAATTAAGTTTGGGTCCGGAATAGTTAATGGTGTGCGTCCCTACATCAAGTTTGTAGTTGCAGGGAATTTTCCTTGCAGCTCTAAACTTGTTGGGATTGTAATCATAGTTATAGGCATAAAACTTTCTACGTGCAGGAGGTGCATTTTCCTGTTTCCTCCTAGTAAACCTAGGTTGGTAAGACCTATAGTTTTGTCTAGGTTGTGCATAGTGTGGCCTGTGTCGGTTATAAGCATACTTAGGTGGCACAAATAATTTCTGGGGTGGAGGGTGACTATATCTTGGCATAGTTCTCCACTCAGAATATCTTGAAAAACTCCTATCTACCCCATAATGAGTATAGCCTCGTGTATAGTGGGGGTTAGAGGGTTTTCTTCTGAAATTATTTCCTTTTTGAGGTCTGTCCAGCTTCCTATAGTTCTTAGGAGGGACTACCTTTTTGGGAACTTCTGTTGGTTTCTCCTTTTCCTTTCCTTTCTGCTTATTTTGTTTAGCAGTAGGTTTAGGAGGGATGAAAGTTGTTCTCCCTTTTCTTTTGGAACTGGAGGGGTCAAACCCAAGTCCTTCACGACCCTTATGTTTGGTCGTTTCAAGAAGCTTGTCCACTGCTTCTTTGGACTTAAGTATCCCTAGCTCCTTGTTGAGGGATTTCACCTTTTCAGAGAGAGATTTATTTTCAGCTTTAAGTTGAGTGATCTCATTTAGTTGACTTTTCCGACCTTCAGTCAACTTGAGATTCTCTTCACTTAACAACTTGTTCTCTTCTGTTAAGGATGAATGTTTGAGATTTATCTCCTCAAAATCTTCCATCATCTTTTTGAACTGGTCAAAAAGATTTTCAGAAGTTGGTATGCTTTCATAAGAAGATGAGCAAGAGGTTTGTGAGGTTACCTCTTGATCAGCATCATCTTTGGCCATTAGGCAGAGAGTGTCATCTTCTGACATAGTCCACCTATCCTCATGGTTGGACTTTTCAACTCTGCGCTCCATGCAAACGAGGGCTTCTTCATCCGAGCTTGAGATGGATGACTCATCACTTTCAGCAACCATTGCCTTCTTTTTCTTCTCGTTTCTTTCTCTTTCTCCGTACTTCTCAACCTTTGGGTACAGGCATGCTGACTTCCAGTGGCCAGGCTTCCTGCAGTTATAACACATGTAAGATTCAGGAGGGGAGTCACTTACTTGTGGCTTTCCCTTGGTTAGCCTTCTGACTGAATCAGCCTTCTTGAAGAACTTCTTGAACTTCCGGAATTGCTTGACCATCATGGCAAATTCCTCCTCGTAGTTCTCCATTTTTGAGCTTGATGGCTGGCTGGAGGAGGGTGTGTCACAGTTCCTTGGGCATGTCCTTTCACTTGATGGGACTCTTGGAGTTGTCATCAATGCCGTGGGGAAGGGAGTGACTTGTTCTTCCTTCTTCTTCTTCAGCTCGTGCTCATAGGTTCTGAGCTCATCAAGGAGACCTTGGACAGTGTAGTTCTCCAGGTTTCTTCCTTCTTCCATGGCTGTGGCTTTGGTGTACCACTCAGTTGGAAGTGATCTCAGCAACCTTACATTCTTTTCTTTGGGAGAAAGAACGTGGTTAAGTGATGCAAGATCATTCAATATCTTGTGGAATCTTTCATCCAACATATCAAATGATTCTCCGGGAAGCATTTTGAAGCTTTTGAACTTCTCAAGCAGGACTTCTATCTTCTGCTTTCT